GCTTCTCATCGAGTATTCTTCAACAGGTCTCGCTCTTTCTAAAAATCCAACGACGGTATACATCGAATTATTGTTAAATTTTGAATTGATCGTTCGATAGAATATTCGAGGGAGAGTTATACGATTTCGTCTCGTCGATATCTCGCGATGCTTGTCGATTAAAAAAGACTTCCTTTCGAAACGGGCGTGAAACGATATTTTATTATCGGCGGAAATCGTCGAATCACGAGGGTCGTTTCCATCCCTTCTTCTTCTTCTTCGTTCGCCGCTCGGGGCGATGGAAAAATGAAAATTGCGAGACTTTTTTTTATCTTTTATCTCCAACTTTCCAACTTTCGAACGAAAAAATAGTTTTCCTCGACTATCATATCTAAATGATAAGCGGAGTGAAATTAAAACAAACAATGATAAGGTTATCGTATAATATAGAAATCGTGCATCTAGAGCATATATTATCAAATATTTTATTGGTTAGTTACGTCACGTTACTTATGTTATGTTACACAAATTATTATTAATTAGTTATATTGAATTAATTGATGTAATAAGTGGAAAGAGTTTTTATTTATATGGAAAAAAAAAAAAAAATATTCGTGGTTTACGATAAGAGGAATTGATAAGAGCGAACTAAGGATAAACTGAAATATAAACGTTTCCTTTTGATGTTGAGCATCAATGATTTCTTTGTATATGTGGTATTTTGTTTTTTTTTTTCAAAATAATTGAAATTGAAAAGAAAGAAAATACAAAAATGAGCATTAGACATTTATCTAGTGTCGATATCTACAAGATATAAAAAAAAATATATACATATATATTATTATCACACTCGATAAGAATAAATAAATAAAAAAATTTACATTTTTATCATTTAATTACACTTAGAAATCATTATCAGTAGATTTCTATTACAAGGATGGCATTAGTTTTATGCTAATTTTGAAATTAGCTACTCGATAACGATAATGATGCTTATCTTTTATCAGTTCCTCCTTTTCGAAAATGAAACACGTTAAATAATTCGCACGACGAAGCAAATTGTGACATATTCATTATCATTTACATTATTGAAATTAATATTACGCGTAATGTCATTTCAGATTTGTAATTTTGTCTAAATAACGATTCTCCCCTCTCCTCTCTCCCCTTCCTTCCTTTTTTTTTTTTTTTTTGCCTTTCCTTACGTAACCGAGAAAAACTCGAAAGGAAGTAGATAATATGTAAAATTGTCTTGTCCCTTTTGTTTCCACTAGACGAACGTGTTTTGTAACACACTCGTTATCATTAAGATATCCGATAATTAATCAAAAGTTCGTTTTATTAGCTCTCTCTCTCTCTCTCTCTCTCTCTCTCTCTCTC